TTTTACTTTTTAGATTATTCTCACTTTTTGCGTATTCTTTAATTTCCGTTAATTTAAATTCAGTTGAGTTTGACACTTTTCAGGATTTTGCCAGAAAAAATTCTTCTGACTAAATCTGACTACTTCGGACTGATGAGAGTCGCTCTCACTGACTGTTGCTCTCTCATTTTTGCTGTCATTTCCGAGTTAAGGAACGCTTTTTGGACTAAATCTGACTACTTCGGACTTTTTCTGACTATTTCTGGGAGATAAGGAACGCGCATATTGAATCATGCTTTGATACAAGCGCGAGTAATAGCCCGAACACAATGAAAACGACGAGCTACAGACCACAGCTGTGAAATTATTTTAACACGTACTCTTATGTAGATAATTATTTAAGCGACGAACGGGCTACGCGACGGCTGTAGTTGTGCCTAGATCTATTTTTCCGGGGACAGATAAGGTTCTTCCTCTTCTTTTATGTCAAGCTCATACAAATCCATAATGTCGCTGCCACTTTCAAAAAAATCATGGCGTTATCGACAAGGCGTTTAGATAATGAAGATCACAAATTGGAAGCTGTGGCCCGTAGCTCATCGTGTTCAATGTGTTCGGAACTTAACGCCCGTGCTTGCTACAATGAAAGCTTAGCAGCGAATACTTTTGGTAACTAAATTAACATACCAGCGGCAGATAAATCAAAATTTATTATCAACAGTTGCATTACAAACAATATTTCTTGCCCGCATTTGATAAAGAAGGAAAATTAAGTCAGAGTTGAAAAGTTGAGAGTTGGCCATCTTTGCGCGTTGTGTTGGTGTTGACGTTGCCCAACTTTGGTTATGTCAAGACCTTCATATAAATGCATGTATTGATAGGGCCCTGTCACACGGTCAGTATTTATTGACGTGATCCAAGTATCGCGATATTTATTGACGGTGTAGCATGCAATATTGATGGATCGTGATCCATATCGCAAAACTTCTAATAATTTTGAAATCTGGATCGCGGATCGCAATACCGTCAATAAATATTGAACGTTTGGCATTTTCAAAACGCGATCCATACATTTCGTCAGTACATCTTTTACTCTCATAATGCGAACATCGCCTTTTCCTTCGCTCTCGCGGCTTAAAATCTTTCAAAACAAATTTTAATTAACATTGGAAATTTTAAAATAATTGTGGAATGCATTCTCTGTAAATTATACGTACAAAATAAAAATAATTTCTTGCGTCATAATAAGCTTTCAGCTCAAAAATTATGCAAATACTGATAAATATTGAACATGTAGCATTCGTGCGCGATCCAAATATCGTGTGACAGAGCCCACAGTCAGCTGTCGAAGCGACGCCAAACTAGGAATTTAAAAAAACATCGATGTATCGAGCAACATCGATAGTCATGGCTTCAAACATCGATGTTCGTCGACGCGACATCGATATTTTCGATGCATCGATGTTTTTCGGCATCCCTAGAAACAACCCTGCGTTCAAAAGTGGTGAATAATTGGCTGCTGCTGTTTTTCTGTGAAAATAGTTATTTATTAAAATATTTATAGAGAACAATAAAACCTATCAGAGCAACCTAAAATAAAAATAAAAATAGTGCATCGCTAAAAACTCCCAACTAGTGTAAGTTTCTTTTTTCCTATTCAACCGCTTAGCTTATCATTCATTTATTGAAGTTGCTGCATGAAATGGTGGAACGATTTTTTTTTTTATTAGTGTTCGAATATGTTATTTGTTGCGCTTGTAGATCAGCTATAATCCGATGCACTTGCAATTCACTTGATAAAACTTAAACCATCTCACCTTTCATATTTTGTTTGAAAGCTTAATCGAATGTGAAAATAAAGTTTTGAAAGATATTGGGTTATGAAAGGACCTTCATTGGATGCCATATGTTTCTTGGTCAAAAATATATTTATACCAAAGGGACTTCCGCAACAGTTATAGAATAGTGACGATCACCCTTTCTTGTTTCGGCAGTCTTTGTATTGCATTAAATATTTATTTGAATTTCTTCATTTCTTTGCAGGAAAGCTAACTACCCCTAATTACAGGTGGATTACAAAATTGGTTGAAGCCTTCAACTTGAATGTTTGTATGTTCATGCATTATTCCATTTTTTCGATACATCTATACAAATTCTCTTCTATTACCAGATTTACATCGATAAAATCTAAAAAAAGATATTCGTCGTAAGTACCCAAACGCTGATATTTAATACATTTGTGAAATATGTACATATGTAGGTATTAACTGAACTCTTTAAAACGGTTCTGAGCTCTTGATATCCAACCGACTAAACAGAGCACAGTTCAAACTTTGTAAAAAAACACACAGGGCCCCTAGAAACGTCTACAGACTCCTCGAGAACCATTGGGAAAATGGTCTAAAATTTGCAATTTGACATTTGAAATATAAACTTGTTAAACAGTGTTTTTGTGTAGAATACCTTTCGGATTTGGCGGCCTTCGGCGGCGCTTAGAAAAAATTACCCTCATCAGTCCAACTCCGGCTACGCTGACCACAGTATTTTAGCCCAGAAATTCTTTTTGTGTAGGCGGCCTTTGGCCGCGCTTAGGGGTTATAACCCTTACTGCGTATAATTCTCATGTCTGTGTTGTCAAAGGTGTACAACATTTCGACTGCTGAGTGGACCCATCGATCTATCTCAGCAGCCAGTCCAAAAACGCCCTATATCAAACAATTTTTCAAGAACCCCCTATTTTATAATTTTATTGAAAAACACTATTTCAGAATTTGATTGAAGAACAACCTATCTCAGAATTCGGTTCACTTCAAAATGTGCTGATATATGGCGTTTTTGAATCGGCAGCTGAGATAGGGCGTTTTTGAACCGCATTCTGAGATAGGGTGTTCTTCAATCAAATTCCGAAGTACGACGTTTTTGAAATGTTTTTTTAAGATTGGACGTTTTTGAATTGGCTGCCGAGATAGGTGATCTTGCACTTAACAGTCGATTTCTTGTGCATATAACTCCGTCTGCGGCATCCATTAGTATTTTGCGTAGAACTCACTCCGAAATTCACAAAAAAGTGTATATTTCAGACCGAATATATTAATAAATTAGGCACTGAAAATTACAAAACAAGGCTTAAAAATAAAGTTTAGAAGTTTCAAGTTCACTGGGATTTGAACCAGCGATTCCATCTTAAAAATCCATAAATACTTGTAATTAATAAGCAGCTTGAATTTTAACAAATAATCTTTTGAAAAAGTAGATATTTATCATGAATATTTATAACTTATTGATCAAAATACATTTTCATATGAAGCTCATTATTCCAGTTTAATCTACTAAAAATAAAACAACAGAAACAAGAAAATAAATATTTCATACAAAGTATTTAGCATAAAGATAAAATATGATTAATAACTAATTCAACATACTATTTAAAAGTAGTTGAAATTAAATTTAGTTGAAGAAAAAGCGATAGCGAAAAAGCTTGAGGGCGAATTAAATTCGTTTAGCATAATTATATCTGACAAAGTCCAAAGAAAAAATATCATGATTCCAAAGGCTTCGTGGTGGGATATTAAATGTAATCCATAAGCATACATATAATAGAAACGCTGTAAAAGTGTGTAATGTAGGCTCGAGCGAGGCGGCATGCAGGCATGCTTGCATTCCAAGCTAGCTCGTCGTCGGGGTGGGTCATTTCCGCCTGCCTTGCTGTCAACTACATTAGCAATGGCGCCCAACGTGGGGCTCGAACCCACGACCCTGAGATTAAGAGTCTCATGCTCTACCGACTGAGCTAGCCGGGCTGCAAGCATGCCTGCATGCCGCCTCGCCTGGCTCGACCATGTTGCTACATTACAATGCTCTACCGACTGAGCTAGCCGGGCGTGTTAGGGTCAAGGAGGTATCATTGTTTTCGGTCACCGTAGGCGATTTGTGCCCGATTGGCAAATAGGGGGGAGTGCCCGCCTCATCTTCAGGGTGCCTCTTAAGGACCTAGCGTTCTTATGAGTGGGAACTGAAGATGAGACAATGGCCAGTTGATATTTATTTATTTTTATTTTTTTTTGTTTTTGTGAGATATACCCTTCAAGCTGCCGTGTGTGCGGTCCAGCACCGCNTTTGTGAGATATACCATTCAAGCTGCCGTGTGTGCGGTCCAGCACCGCATATACGTGAGGCTTATGGAAGTTTCGCTCAGGGGGTAGTTTAAAATAGGGGTTTTGGTGGAAAATGTGGCAGCCGCGCTTGGAGCCAGAACTTCAATCGTTGAAGTGCCACACTTGTTAACATAAAGAGGGGGATTAGTTGAGTTTGACTTTTGGACAGTGGACACACGGACCAACACTCCCACAATGACCTCGCCAAGGCAACACCAACACACACCAAAGCAAAACTATATAGATATATATACACCTATCTAACACAAAAAAAAAGGAAGAGATTTTATAAAAATTTTTAAATACAAAAATAAAAATAAATAATTCGAAAGTTTCGGCCCAAAAAAACGAACAAAGCCTGAATTTATTTGAATTTTTAATATTTCCTACTTTAGTTAAACACTTAAAGTTATATATTTTTATTTATAATTTTAGTCATCTATCCTTAATATTATTTTATTACTTTTCAATTTTCAATATTATTTTTATATTTTACATTTATCATTTTTACCTGAAATACATTTCTTTTTCGCATTTTTATATACTACATTTGCATACAAATCCCACATCGAAGTTGAGTTGAATTTTAGTTTTTTTTTGCAATCCCTTTATATTGTTAAGATTACTTTTTTGAAGTTTGAAGTTTTTTTTTTAAACCCTTGAAGTTTTTTTATCGAGTTTTTGGTGTTATTGTGTTTGCGACACCGATTCGAGTCNATTGTTAAGATTACTTTTTTGAAGTTTGAAGTTTTTTTTGAAACCCTTGAAGTTTTTTTATCGAGTTTTTGGTGATATTGTGTTTGCGTCACCGATTCGAGTATTTCGTGGAAGAAACTGAATTGGTTTGATAGCTAGGGTTATTTGAGTGAATGGACGAGCGTGAGAGTGAAGAAATAGTGCCAGGAGGATTAAGACTGCTGAACTCGAACCGTAGAGTCACACGAAGCGTAGCGAGAGCTTTAGAGAACCAGGTCGTTGCGTCTCTCTTCACCCAAATAGACACAGGCATTTCATATCCGGTGGACTTCGTGCCCACCGATTATTTTAACAGGTGCACGGCTAGGGTGTTTGCAACATTAAGACACGAGGAAAATTCGCTTTCTTCGGTCAGAATAACTAACGAGGTAGCCATTAACACGTCAAACAATACCCTTAGTTTCTCTCGAAAACTAGACGAGATTTTAGAAATGTCAGAGCAGGACGAGCTGAATATGCCACCTAGTGACGCTGCCGCGGGTAGTTCGAAGTCCGCAGGTGGAGGACCTAGGTCGTCTGAAGTCAATACTGAGCAGCTGAGCCGAATGATGGCTATGATGGCGCAAAACAGTGATATGTTAGCTCAATGTATGACTGAGGTCCACCACATGCGAGGCAACATGTCGAACATAAACGAACGTTTAGCTGGTGTGGAAGCTTCGACACACGCACAACCAACCAGAGCAGGCATGGCGTCAACACCAGAAAATCGAAGCGAGAGGCCAATAGACGTATAACGGAGCCGAGATGAGGGCAGAGCTAGTGGACAAAGTAGTTCGAGTGCGCTTAATGAGTCCAGAAATCTTAAGAAAATTGACCTAGATAAGTGGCATGTCAAGTTTGACGGATCTGCCAAGGGAATTACAGTCGAAAGTTTCATTTTTCGAATCGAAAAGTTGCGTGAACAATACGGTATTTCGCACTACCAATTGTTCACTTGTTTTCATTGTCTGGTTACCGGTAATGCCTTGAAGTGGTATTGGCAGATTCTTGAAGACAATGCAGATGACCCGAGCTTCGGCTATTTTGAACTTAAGTCTGAACTGGTAAACCACTTCAAGACGGCTGAATCAGACTATGAGATAATTAGGGAAATCATGGAAAGGAAGCAACAGGTTCAGGAGTCTTTCGAGGATTTCTACGGAGATGTTCACAGTCTGACATTC